TCATTGACTAAAACACATAGACATAGTTGTTTCTAGCACAAAAACATATAAATAGATAGCACTCCGGAGAAGTTATTTGTTTTGATTGTTCTAATTGTCTTAGAGTTGAGCCAAAGTTGACGTGGAAAATGAGGTTAGAAAACTTGTCATGTTGAAAGCAAGAGATTTGTATTTGCTGGATTTTTTCAAGAAAAATTGATGGTATAGTAGTGTCCGGATGGTGGAACCCATGATTATTAATTAGATTGGAGCAAATTGATTCTAACTAATTTTTTGCATTCGTTATTGTGAATATACATTCTTGCTTCAACGAGTGCCATTAGTAATGACACATGATACAATAGCTCGTAATTGTTAAAAAAAATATTAGTTGTTAATGTTTAGATGTAAATAAAATTTTATAATATTTTTAGTCGGAGAAGTTTTTTTTTTCCTCCTATAAAAATTGCTATATTAGAGAAGTAAAAAGTTAATACAAAAAATCTAAACCATTATTTTTTTGGGTTTAGAAAGATGTCCTCATATTTATTTGTGAATAATTTGTCAAAAATGTGAATCATTGCTATAGAAAATATGTCATACAATTAACCATTATCCTTTTGAGTTTAGAAAGATATCTTTATATTTATTTGTTTAATCTAAATCGGTGAAAAATCGGTTATATTAGAGAAGTGAAAAGTTAATACAAAAGTAAAACATTTTTACAGACTAATAATGATTGTGTATTTAAGCTTATCAATTACTTAAGTATTATATATATATATATAATTAAAAAATTTGAAAACAAATTATTAGACCTAACACAATATGTTCTAATTCAAGAAGAAATTAGAAAGTATAATAAATGAATACTAATGTATGAGTTATACAATATAAAATTAAATTTATAGTTTAAGATAAACTTCTCAAATGAAATAATAGCTAGCAACAACATAATGTCACAATTATTGATGTAAGAAATTAGAAATTTACTTTAAACACGGAGGAAAAATTAAGGTGGAGAATCTAGAATTAAGTTTATAATTTAAAATAAATTCATTGAATGAAATAACAATTAACACTAATATAATAAAAAAAAATTGTTATTGCAAAAACCAAAATATTTACTCATAAAATAAAATGAAAGAAATGTTGAAAACGAAACCATAGAGGGGAATACAAGGAAAAAAATAATTTTTTTGTCTTGCTTGGGAATAATTTCTCAAAAAAAATTGTTTTAGGTAACGAAATAAGTCGAAGACAGCTTTTATGCATAAAATTACAATAAAACATGAACATAATGGTTAATTAAAAAAAATGGGATAACAAAGATTTATGAGTGAAGTGACTAAAATATTATAATGTAGCAAGTGAAATATATTGTAGAAAAACATAATAGTAGAAAGCACATGAGTAACTAAAGGAGATGAACAACAAAACTATTTTACATATGTAAAACCCTATATAGCAAGAGAAGGTAAGAAACTCGTTGAAATAAATTGCATATTAGATGCTAAAATAACGAGTATGACATAGGAACACCAGAATTAGCATTCCGCATTAAAATCAACAAAAAACACCTAAAAATATTCAATAAGAAAACCATTTAATTAAATAAAAAAATATAATGTTGACATAGACAAAAAAAATGCAAGAATATAAATCGTTAAATAACATTAAATTAGTGTATATAACTAGAATAACTCTCAAAATTGTGGACAATAATGAATATCGATCGTTTTCATCATAAATCACATAATAATTATAGATATTATAACATTTTAAATTATGAAACAAACATAAACGATAGTTGCATATAAATTTTGAAGATACATCAAATAAAATGTATACTAACTACAAATAATTAACTCACTAAATATGTAGAGTACCAATATGGAAGTTCAAATGATATAAAAAAATAACTAAGAAATAAATGTTATCATAAAAAACACTACGTATTTTTTAAGGAAACATAAATTTGAAAGTCAAAACAGAAAAATATTGAAAGTTGAAATAAAAAATATATGTACAATAATCAATAGTCAACATATTTATATGTAACAAATGAGATAAAGTTGAAATGATTTATTTATACCATGACTCTAAGACTATACCAGCGATTAATTAATTTGAACATAACATCATTAATTATATACTTCCCATCCCAATTTTTCTCCTTCTTTTTCTTCTTCCTTTTTTTTTTTTTTTTTAGGCTAGACTAGGCTGAGATTAGGCCGGTCCAGCCACACATGGGTCGGCCCAACTCATTTTTAGCTGGACTCAAGTCCACAAACATCAACTAAACCTTCCTTTTCTATTTGTTAGATCGGATCTTCTTTCTTTCTTTTTTCCTTTTTCCTCTTACCTAATTTCTCTTTATCTCTCTCTCTCTCTCTCTCCTCCTTTTCTCTTCTTCTTCTTCTTCCTCGTTTTGTTTAGTTATTTAAAAGAAACGTTTGATCTCTTTTTCTTTCCTTCCTTCCCTTACTTTCTCGCTATCTTCCTCTCCTATCCTCCTCTTTCTTCCTTCCTTACCTCATCTTCTCCTTCCCTCTCTTTGCTCGATCTCCATAAAAGAACGAACCGGAGTTCATCTCTAGTTTGCTCTCTCTCCTTTAATCCTTCTTTAACCTCTTACTCCCTCTATTGATTCCCCATCGGAATCAAAAACCTTCCATTCAATTCTTTAACTAAAAATTCTCAAAATTGATCAAACCCTAGGTTTCATTTTTTTTTTCGGTTAGCCTTAATTGACATACTTTCTCCTAAGATCAAGCCAATTCAAGCCTTTGAGAATCCAATTTCTTGAAAACCCTTAAATTTTATTATTGTTAAAAAAATCTAAAAACTCTATGTTTCAATCTAGTTCAATTGAGCCTAAATTTGTATTTTAATCAATAAATTGACAACCTAAATACCCGTAATTAGCCTTTCTTTCAATAATTCAAACTCAATTTCAATCAAAACCTCAAAAATTCCCAAATTTTGAAACTCAAACTATCTAAAAGCCTAAAAACAAAGAAAAATTACATTGAGATGATTAGTTTACCAAGAAGAATTCGAATTGAGGATGATGGTGAGAGGTATTCTCGCTCTAATTAAATAAGTAAATCCTTTTTTTTCCTTTAATGTTTTTTTTTCAGCTTCAATTTCTTTTTTTCGATTGCTATTTCTTTTTTTTTCCTTCAATTTTTCTTTTTTAAGAACCGACTTCCACTCCCTTATTTGTTGTTGGTTTTAAGTATTTATGAAATTATTGGTTCCCAACCGATGATGGTGTGAGATTTTTTTATAGGTATGGTATGAGATGAATTAACAGCAGAGTGGAGGTCGATAGTATGGTGATTTGAATGGCGGAGTTGACTTGGGGGATTACAAGTTGTTGTTGGGTAGAGGTCGGTAGTAAGGGTGATTGCAGTATTGTGGGGAGTTGATAGTTATGTGCTCGTAAGAGTTGCAGCGAGTGTAAGGGTGGCTGAGCGGTGGCAACTTGCAGCTGGGTAGAGGCTACAAGTCGTGGGATAAATGCGATAAGAGATATAGGGTGAGAAGAAATATTAACACATGAATAAAAAAAATAGCAAATAAAGAAGACAATGGTGGCTATAGAAGAAAAATAGAAGATAAGAAGAAAGAGTCACGGGGGCATAAAGAGAGAGTAAAAAGAATAATGACAACAATGTAATTAGAAAAGCAAATGAAGGGTACTATTTATGTTAAAAAAATTAAAGAAAACACTATAATAGGAACGACGAAAAGAACGAGTGAAATGTGTCTAGTGCGACAGATGATAGGAACGATAAAACACCCTCGTGTCTTAGGGTTCTTGTAATATGTTCGACCATTTACATTTTTTTTTATCACATGATTAACTTTTGTCAAGTTTTTTAACACTTTAGTGAAGATGAGGTAAAAATTGGTAATGTACACTAATTTTTAATTTTTTTCTCAATTGAATACATGGATTTCATTTTTTTTATTTGAGTTACTAATTTTTTCAAAACTATCGATCAAGTATTTCAATCATTTTTTCATTAATTGATAGCGTATTCGTTACTCATAGAATACTAAATTATATTTTTACCTTTTTTTCAATCAAGTACATGATTTTTTTTAAATATACTATTTTTTTAAAAGTTATCAATGAAGTATTTCTATTAGTTTATCCATTAACTAATAACATATTCTTTACCTCTAGAATACTAAATTATAATTTTCTTTTGTTGGAGGAAACTTTTCTCCCAAAAGCTCACTAGCAACAAATTTTCTTGATAAATCATATGTTTATGTTTTCTTTCAATTATAGTTGAGTTTAGTTTGAAATTTTATAATTAAAAAATAATATATACTATTTTAATTTTGTGCCAAATTTTGAAATTGTAGAATAATTTCGAAAGAAAGTTCCCTCCAACACAAAAAAGGATAATTTTGTAATTTGATATTTTAAAGATAACAAATACTTAATCGAGTTAACAAAAAAATAATAAAAAATACTTGATTGATAATTTTTTTTAAAAATTATGTACTCAAATAAAAAAATTAAAATCTATACATTCTATTGAGAAAAAAGAAGACAAAATTATAATATAGTATTCTAAGAATAGTAAACACATTATCAGTTAATGAAAAAATTGATGAAAGCACATGATTAATAATTTTGAAAAAATCAGTATGATCAAAAGAAAAAATTAAAATCTATATACTTGATTGAAAAAATTAAAAATGAATATACTTCTAATGAAATTATCCCAATTTAATTTATTTTTTCTTTTTATTAGCTAATGGAAAAGCTCCACGTTAACGAGGGGAGGGTTTTGCGGTCATTTTGAAGGTAATCTATCTTTCTGTGCAGAGCGCCTGAATACTCTCTAGTCCCACTTTGCCAAATAATAAAAATACGGATAATTCAAAAAATCAAAAAAATATCATTCTCACCTCTCTCCACTGCCAAACTCCACCACTCCTTCATCTCTCATGAAAGCCTGACCCTCGCCCCTACAACCACACCTCTCTCCCCTTCCATGGCGAGAACTCTACTTTCATCTCCACCGTTCATCGGCACACCACTCCTCTCTCTCTCTCGCCACACGCTCACTACCAACCGTCGATTCATATCCACAAGAATCAAGTTAAGCTTACACGACAGCATTCCCCCAATTCATCATCACTTAAACTCTTCAGTCGATTTCAATTCAATTATTAGCAGAGCAGAAGGATTTCTCTACACGCTCGCTGATGCCGCCGTTGCAGTAGATCCCGCTGTTTCTGCTACTTCAACTGATCCCGTTGCTGCTGCTCAAAAGAATGGCGGTTGGTTCGGTTTCATCTCTGATGGTATGGAATTCGTTCTCAAGGTGTTGAAGGATGGCCTTTCAGCTGTACATGTGCCGTATGCTTATGGTTTTGCCATTATTTTGCTTACTGTTATTGTTAAAGTTGCTACTTTTCCTTTGACCAAGAAACAGGTAGTTTTCTTTTCTTAATCAAATTTAGTAGAAAAACAATTGATTCCGTTATTTTTGAAATTAAATTTTGTATTATATTGTGATTAATTGTTTAGGTGGAATCTACCCTGGCTATGCAAAACCTGCAACCTAAGATAAAAGCTATTCAACAAAGATATGCAGGAAATCAGGTAAGGCAGTGTTGCGTTGAATTTATTGAATTTTCAGCTTGATTTTAAGCACATGAGTTTCATTGTTTAAATAAGTTTGTTTGTTTGTTTTAATTTAATTTATAGGAAAGAATACAGCTTGAGACGTCCCGTCTATATAGGCAGGCTGGAGTTAATCCATTAGCAGGTACTACTTTAAAACATTGCATCTGTATTGTTATTTAATCAATACATAAAAGCCTCGAGAGTATGTTCTTTCGGATTTTAATTAATTTACTCCTGTAAGTCGCTCGTTGACAGAAAATGTTAGCCTTAACTAATACTTGTATAAGAGTCTCCTTTCTGTTATTTTATTTCATCTCTATGTGTAGTATATGCCTTATGGTGCTGATCCTGATGAACTTCTCATTTTAGGTTGTTTTCCAACTTTGGCTACAATACCAGTATGGATAGGCCTATATCAAGCTCTTTCAAATGTTGCAAATGAGGTATTTAATAGGGTGATATCTTGTTATCTTTTTGTTCAACTATGATGGATGTTATGTGCATGTTGGCATGCCACATGTGTGTGTGTGTGCAGAACAAATTGACCATCCCTGATAACTGTAAAATTTTTCCTTAAAGGGATTGTTGACAGAAGGTTTCTTTTGGATCCCCTCTTTGGGTGGGCCAACTACAATTGCAGCTCGACAAACTGGATCGGGCATTTCTTGGCTTTTTCCATTTGTGGTAATAAAACTTTACTTTCATCATAATCATGAATCTAAGAATTATTTTTTTCTTCTCCTATTATCGATGTTTAACATTTTCATTTCTCCCTACTTACGAAAAACTTGTGACATTGATCATGTATTGATGTAACTTTACTGCTTTCAATAGAAGCACATGTCTGTAAAATTGGAGAGCCAGATTGGGGTCATGCATTTCATATGTGGTTCACAGTTTGTTTTCCAACTCAACTTGATTAGCTCAGTGAATTTTAGGTCTTGTAAGTTTTGTAAGTTAATTTTAGAGTAGTTGTATTTGGCGTAGCTGAGATATTGGAGATAATTTGCTACACCATAAACTGACGTACACTTTATTTCAGATGATTTTTGGTTAGGACATGAGGTTGTAATGACATGAATGCTGTAGTGATAGTTTGCATCTCTTTCCTAGGGTTATGTTGCGTGGCATTGCTCCATTAGCTCTTAGATTGCAGCTTTGATGAGGTAGCATCGCCGTTCGGCATGGAAAAAGAAGATGTTAAGCAGCCTTAGGTCCCTATCTGACAATTTGATTCTTTCTCTGGTGGGGCAGGCCATCTATTCTAGGATCTGTTTCTTTCTGTGTTGAGGCAGTACGTCAGTCTATCTTTTTTACATTTCTTATTTTTCCTTTCAAGAGACATAATTTCTTTTTTTATTTGTCAAGATACATATTTAGCAATGCATAGCTCCTGTTTTCTGTGTCCCAAAATTCTCAATCTTGGTGGACCTAGTGGTTGTTGTAGAGCTTGTGTTTGAATTGTATCTTTCTGTTGCCGTGTGTCTTAGTAAAAGATGCAGCATTTACTTTGTTTATCTGTTATCTATTGTAATGTCTTATTTCCCTAGAGCTATTACAGGGATCCACCTCCAGTTTACTAGAAGAAGATTTATTTCTATTTTTTATCTACTGATAAACTTAATTTTCTATTTTCTTCTTCAAGTATCCTTTCTTAAATACTCTAGTCTTGGATTTTGAAAGAAGTGAGCTAAGTGGTTTGATAGAGAGGAGATTAAAGTTATATTTACCTTTTTAGTTTTGCCTGGTTGCTTATTTCATTTCTTCTGGAGTCCTTCCATTGGGATGCTATGGATAGATTAAGGCACACCATGGGTAGTCTGAATGTGAAGAGATGACTAATTTACACTCTAGCATTCAAATTAGATGTAACTGCATTAGCTGTTGTTTAGTATTTTACTATGAGTGAGGTACTGTGCTGTCATATTTCTTCCCCAAGACTATGCAGCAGATTTGGATAATCTAATTCCATCATGCAGGATGGTCATCCCCCATTAGGCTGGCATGACACTGCAGCATACCTGGTTTTGCCTGTCCTCCTTGTTGTCTCTCAGTACGTATCAATGGAGATCATGAAGCCTCCCCAGGTAGAGAAATGATCTCTTAATTGGCCTTTTTCTGTCTTTCACCATTATTAATCCAAATGATTCTTTAACCCTGAACTATTCTGGTTTGACAGACAGATGATCCAACTCAAAAGAACACGCTTCTCGTTTTCAAGTTTCTACCTCTTATGATCGGTTACTTCTCTTTGTCTGTTCCATCGGGATTATCTATATACTGGTTCGTTTCTCATCAGCAATGTTGCCACAACTGAATTTATGCATGTTTTGTATCCATGTATCAAGTTTCATAAATTAAGTTGAGGAAGCAAGAAGTTGGTCCATTTATGATTTTGTGCTATCGATAAAAATTTCATATCATATTGTCACTGTGGAATATCATCAGCAGGAATAGCGCATCTGATGTTTTTAAGTTATGCATTTGTGCTAGTGCTGTTCACATTTGTACCCCCACCCCAACATGGAAAAATTATGAACACCATTCATTACTGCTTATAGAGGCATTCCAACTGGTGCATTGACATAAGTTTCTTTTTTGGGCAAATAAGTTGTTTTTGTCATAACTTGGTCATTTTGCCCATAGTTGAAATTCATTCTCATGTAAACTAGTCTGTTCATATGTATGGTTTTGGATGTTCCTCCTGTTAGTATTTCCTCTGGCTTTTGGAACACCTCCACATTTGCTTAAAGAAGTGAAATTTTCAGTGGTCCTCTAGATTTAAACACAGGCAAGAGGTTTCGTGTTTATATATTTCACCCTTATTAAGCTGTGTAGTGGTCCTCAATATGTGTGTGTGTGTGTGTGTGTGGTGTTATCAAACTATAAAGCATACCTTGTGATTTACAGGTTCACAAACAATGTCCTAAGCACAGCTCAACAGGTATGGTTACGCAAATTAGGTGGTGCAAAGCCTGTGGTTAATGAGAATGCAAGTGGAATCATCACTGCAGGACGTGCAAAAAGATCAGCTTCACAACCAGGGCAGACTGGTGATAGGTAAGTGTTCTTCTTTGCAGTACCATTTCTTATTTCAGCAGCTCCAAAAGAGTCTTAACAAACAAAGATGGAAATTGACAGGTTCAGGCAGTTAAAGGAAGAAGAGAAGAGCAAAAAATTGAGCAAGGCATTGCCATCAGAAGATGTTCAAGCTCTGGATTCTGCATCTGGTTCTGCTGAGGATTCAGATGAAGTGACTAAGGACAAGGTAAATCCTATATTTTAGTCCTTATGAGTTTAACTGATACAAAGAAAAATCATCTTGACCACTGTCTGGATTTTGCAACTTTTTTTCAATCACGGCAATTGTTAGTGGGCCAGGAAAGGGAACGTATCTGTATTTCTATGGTGGTGGTCTCATGCATTGCAAGGGTACCCACCAATCTCATATTAGAATTATTAAGCCTCATATAATGATTGTCACCATACAAGGAATACAATTATCTTAAACTTATCATTTATCTCAGTCTTGTGAAAGATGGTACTAGTTACGTGCCTAGACTCATTGTTGCAGTCCATTTTAGTTGAGAAGAGCTCTTATTGCTGGACCATTGGTTGGAGGGTTGAAACCAACCTTTATTAAGTGTGCTTCTTCATAACCAGAAAGGCATATTAGCCCTTCCTGTATATTCATCCATCTTCCTAGATTCTTAATACAATGTACAAGAAGAAAATAGTGAGCCACGAAAATTGGTGGTCTTTGACACAGTTGGAGTCTGCCCAACGTGATAATCAGCTTGCTGTCTTGATTTTTTGGTAGCAGTTGGTAGTTCACTGCTTCAAAGTCGGTGATTGACCCTTGGAAGTGAAATCAAATAGTCCAGGGAGTGGAAGTGAGGGGTATTGTCTGGACCTGCGTACGGATATGCTTTTCGAGCATATGCAATGGTGCAAGTGGAACATTGTTTATATGTAACTCTTTACTGCCATAGAGTGAAACCTATAGATTCCTTACCAGCATTGGAGTTTCTTAGCCTCAACCATTGTCAGATTGCACTACAACAGTTAGAAGGCAAATGGTATTTGTAGAGAGGGCCTCTAATAAAAAGCATTCAAATTTCTTTTGCAATCATCATATGTAAATAAGTTAGCTAGCAATGTGGGATGGTCAAACAATACAGTTGAAAATTATTGCAATAGTGGATTGAAGAGCTGATGCAATTCTAAACAAATTTCATTGCTTTAAGGAAATGCTCAGTAGGTGAGAGATACATGAATTGAGGGATCTGGTCTGTTTTCTATTAAAAATACTAACACTGTCAATAACTTCAACCTTTTTTTTCCCTAGGAATCATAAATGAGATAATTCATATTATTGTTAGAATTGCTCATGACAGTAACTAACCTCAACTCTCCAACAGGACGAGGAGGTTCTGGAAGAAGCATATGCTTCAAGTTCAAGCAAAAGGGTCCCGGATATTTCTCGGACAAAGAGAAGCAAGCGGTCAAAGAGAAAGCGAGCTGTGTAAAAAACTTTATACTGATAAGATGATTTTTGTTTTGGCGAGTCCTGTATATCTTGACACTGTATTGTAGTTGATTTATAGTGCCATTTTTATGTCGGCTCATTCCAAGATGAGTCGCTAATGATGCAAATTGTGCCGATTTTGAACTCATTTGTTAAGCATTGTCGTTTTGTCGTGCCATTGGTATGACACCCTAACAGAAGCATGATTCTGACATGGTAAGCAAGCTGCTCAAAGTTGAGTGCAATGTTTTATAGTAGGGTAAGAGACAGTGATCTTAAGACATCCCAGCAAGGTTTGCTTCATCGTAATTTTCTAGATCTGGTGATTCTTATTTAGGTGTTCACCTGTTACTATAAGCACCATTTCTCAGTTCATTGAGGCTTCCGTATGGGAAAATTGTGTTACGCACTTCAGCTGATAAACATATGTATGTTTTTTTCTATTAATAATGCTTGGTTTGATTCTCAGATATTAGGGGAGAAGGCAAATTACACCGCCTTGAGAAAGCTCAGTACCCAGGAGAGGAAGTTGTCGCATTTTTTTTTGAGAATCATCTGGAGCAGAAATTAGTATGTACCATGACTGAGACATGTTCTACTCTGGTAACAGAATATAATCCGAGGATTAAAACTCTCCTTGGAATGTGTTCTCTGCTGAAACAACTTCATGACAAAAGGTTTTACTAAAGATGAGAATCATGCATTTTCTTCATAAAAAAATGTTCTAAGATGACGAATCTAAACTAATTTCATCTTTTATACAAGCATAAAAACCCAGCAATCAGGTTTTTTCAACCTAAATGAATACCATCTGACCTTCTCCTACTTTAGTCGAATACTTTGGACCTCAGTCTACTCGCTGTTGGTAACAAGTGCATCTGTCGATTCATTGCTTAGATGGTGGATTGTGATTGCCTACAGGGTTGGGTCCTGATGGAGTTTTATGAATCCTCTTCTCTGCAACCTGTTTGTTTCATAGCATAGATGCAAGTACAAAAAGAAAAAAGAAAAATGGTAAAGGCATAAATCATTTGCATCAAGACTGATAATAAATGCATGCAACCGAAAACCTGAACACTGAATTCCTTACCCAATTTGGTAAGACGTTTCCCTTCTGTGATTTTGAGGCAAGTTGTGCAGGCTTCAGTTTGAAATGAACTGTGGCAGCAAAGCCAAATTAATGTCAACCATTAGAAATTGTGACAGCAAAAAGGCTTTTGTTAATTTGCTGCAGCAAATTGGTTATGAGGAGGATTATGCCTGATTCACTGATGAATCACTACAGGATACTAGCAATAATGAATATGATAATGAAAGCAGAGAGGGAATGTTGCCTGCCTGCTTCAATAGCTTGAACCTTGATATTGGAGGAGAGATGCTGTTGAGAAGCTACAAGCAGAAGCCATGCCAAGAGAAGATGGATGAAAGTCAGCCTGCTCATCTTGGGCTTGAAACGGTGCATGTTGCAACTGAATGGAGAAGTTTTATGTGATAGCGGTTTAGACAAGTAAGAAGCATTTTTATCCACTGACATTTTCGGTAATCATAACAAAACTTGAATATAATGCTGAGAATGTTTGTTAAAGGGTGCTTTGGAATCCTATGCCATTACATGCTGAATTGATAAGATTATGAATCTGGGCTCTCCTCATTATGGGTTGACTTCTTCTCTGTTATCATTACTCAGTAATCATTGCATCCATGATAGAGATACAAGTACTTTAGCTATATTATTTTGTTTTTGAGTGCTTAAACCATGCCTTTGGCATTAGCGTAGGGACTAGGGACCCCCAATGCGCATTGCATAACTAAATCGTGTGTTGTCTTTGATATATATATATATATAGGCTATGGAAATATGCTTGTTAATTCCTTCTTTAATTTAACTCTTTTGCCAAGACTTTTTGAAGTTGAGCAGAGTGGGAGCACTTACGAACGAATCTTTTTCAGTTTGGTACTAGTGCTCTATCCAACACTTACTGACTAAATTGTTAGTGGATGGATGTATTTGTTAGATCCTTCCAAGGTGCTTTCCAAAAAAATTCAAAATCACCACTTCTTACATAAATCTGACTCTTCAATGATGGCTTAGTTAACAAACGAACTTAGTATGATGGCTGTGTACTCGATAAATTTCTTTAATGAAGTAAAGTTTAAGTCTCTTTGATCATAAATATTCTCAGTTATAATTATATAATGAGAAATAAGTACTGTTTTTCCTATTAGCTTACAATATTATTATCTTAATATATGACGGACTTCATTTAAAAAATAATATCACAACTATTCTTCAAATAGTTGAAAGTAAAAGTAAATGCAATTGATGTATTCCAAAAACATTGTAGAATTTGCCATTTATTAATTTGGATGTTTAGGATTTTAGTTTTCTTTAGATTCACATGAGGCCTTAACTTTAAGGAAATCATTTTCTTTGATCTCTTGGTGTGATTTTGAATGTTTGCATACATCGATTCATGCTAAAATTTCCATTCCGTCATCTGGAATCATTAACTAATTCCAATAAGAGGACTGAATCTTCTTTTTTATGAAATAAATATTTTTTTATTTTTAAATTAATTTTATAATGTTTTAAACTGAAATATAAGCTCAACTTTTAGACAAAATAAAAAAATTCTAGAAATATTATATATAGTATGCTAGTGATATGAGTACAAAATAAAATATGTAATTAAATTAAATAAAGTATGAAAACGAAAGAATGGTTCCTAAACATTAATGTCCCAAAGAAATAAATATGATTTGCTTCAATAGCAGAAAAGTAAAGAAATGATCTTTGCCAAATATTCTATGAAGGTGTTCTCTTTTGATTGAACCTTTTAATTTTAAAGGAGAAATTTGATTTTTAATTATTCATTACTTCAATATTTATACACCTAATGACAAAAAGATTTAGCCCGTTCAAAAAGAGCTCAATCAATGGACATAGAGACACTGCCGGATAATGTAACCTGGAGACTCTGGAATGACTTGAGGATAGATATTCATACACCTAAGGACAACAGACAGGGAAAAGGAAGTGCACTAGATATGTTAATACTGAATGATGAAGGTGGCCCAACCTTAAATGGGCCCCTTTTTAATCAATGAATCTATTGAGTTTGAATTGCCTGGGAGAAGAGAATCCCTTGACATTTCAACATTAGCTAGGATGCCTTTTTAAGTTTTGTTTGTTTTTACGGTTGTTTCTTTATTAATGTTTTCATTAATTTCATTCATCTACGAGTTTTAATTTTGTCTTTTCATCCAAATTTTCAGGTAATGACCTTAATTTCCGGTGAAAGATACATAAAGCGCTGACGTGTAGGAGTTTTTTTCCCTAAATATGGTACTTTTTAATATATTTTTTCAAAATAAGATACTTTAAATTTTATTTATAAAAAAGGATACTTTTGCCACATAGACACAGATGTCATCTTTTTAATTAAATGTTATAATATATATTTAATATAATAATTTTAAAAAAATTATAAACATAAAAGAAAAAATTAACCTACGTTCTCTCTTGTCTCTTTTTTGTTGTTTTTGCCCTAATTTCTTTAAGTTCAAATACTCTCACAACTCGGAATTACAATTACTAGAATAGTTCTTTATAGCATATGAATATCGTCAATTAAGGTATTTTTCTACATTCTTTTGTTTTTATTTGTTTAATTTTGATATTTTAAGGGTATTTCAAAATAACCATGAATTTTATATAGGATTTCTCATTTGATCCGTACTTAAGACCAAAACTATCAAAAGAAACAAGAACTATCCCTTTTATGTAATCCAAGTTTAACGTCCTAACAAGTGAAGAAAAGGGAAAATTCATAAATAAATGATGATTTTTACTTGTTCCTAACGAGTCTTGTACCAAAAAACTCTAGCTATGCGAAGACCATAACCTCAAGTTCAATTAGGGCTATGTCCAATGCATTTATTTTACTTTATTTATTTGACGAGAAAGTGATAAATGATTACCTTGTGAGATTGTGACTTCTTCACCCACCATTTGTTGTCTATAAAATTCCAATACAAACTCTGCATATTTTTTATCCCTTCACTTAGTCTTTAATGTGTAATGCTAAGTATTTAGAGACCTACCATTACGTTTTTAGTTTTTTGAACAGTAGGAAAGAGTAGGGTTGTTTGTGACCATACTAAAACAAAGGAATATGAAATTGGCTTTTAATTTATGGGGTTGGAATTTAATACAAACATTAGTTTTCAAACATAAAGAACGGAGGTAAAATAAACTATAGACCATTTAATGCTTTTTTTTGTCTTTTGTGATTTTTTTTCCTCATTTTCTTTCTTCGGTTTGAGCTAGTTTGTGGTAGTGGACGGGTGGAGAGCCTAGATCATGTTGTTTCTTTTTCTTCGTGCGAGAGACCATTCAATGTTTCTACTTTTCTTTTGTGATTTTTTTTTCTCATTTTCTTTACGTAGTCGAGCAAATTCGTGGTGATAAAGAGCTCGGGTAATGACCATATTTTTTTCCATTTGAGAATTATCACCAGTTGTGGATCCGGGTTTTTGTGTCCCGGTTGCAAATGAATTTCATATTAGTCTTTTTTCGTCCTTTTCCAATTCTTTTTTTTTTTGGCTTCCTTCGATAGGTACTTATGGGCATTTGGTTTTAACTATATTCATAAATAAATGAGGATCAAATCTCTTTAAACCATGAATACTTTCTATAGAAAATCTACTATTTATTAATATGCATAGAATTTTGTTCATTCTTATAGCATTTTAAAATTTTAATATCCAATAAATAGAAGTAAACTGCATGCAACATCAATTAGCATTTTAAGCGTAAGTTTGTATTTTTAACATATACAAATGTGCATTTAACATCTCAATAAATATGACATAAAAATTTAGAGAACAAATTAGCATATAATATCTATAAATTATATAAGTTTTCTATTTTAGATTTTTGTTAAATTTGATGTAACATTAATTTTTTTTTTTTTTTTTTTTGCAGGTTGGTAATGGCTAACGAGAGATGTACGTATATTTTGCTACTTGGAACGGACATATTATTGATGGAGAAGAAAGACCATGTTACAATAATCCACCAATGAAAGCCATTAAGGTGACCCGAATGATAAAATATTACGAGTTACTAGATAAACTATATGTTATTACGAGGATTTAATAAACAACATGTTCGATTGAAGTTGGTCCGCACATATCCTACGATTGTACGGACATTAATGGTCAAGTATACTCGCTTGTGTATTGTTGATGATAACGAAGTAGATATTATGCTTGAAATTCCTTCTTTTCATGCTTTAATTAGTAACATTGAGTTGTATATTGAGATAGAAGCTATACTCATTGAATCGGTTGAACGTGATATTCAAGGCATTGGTTTAGATGCATTTAGGCGAGTTGACCACTCAAAAAGATAACACTTTACTTCATTCCCCTCTACATTTTGATAGAAATCGTGTTTCTTCTTTGAATCATCCAACTTCTTCGGTTGTCGATGTAGTGAATGAATATGATCATGAAAGTGATGTAAGTATGGATATGACTACAATACAACGAATGGTTGAACATGAAAGTGCCGATATATTTAATGATATGCATGTGAATAATAACTCATTTCATGTAATGAGAACAAAGGAATCTTTGAAATAATGACAACACCTCATGGTGAACGAATGCGACGGGATCATGATAAACAAGTTGTTCAATTGGATAATGGTAAATGCTTATGTGGTAAATGGCAAATCTATAAATTTTCATGTTTTCATGTATTAGCGAGTGTGTGGAAGATTGACTCTTGATAGTTGGCAATTTATTGATAAGTATTACGAGTATGCAAGAGCAATTTCATACATGGATGCTACAGTTTCATCCTATTATTCATCAAGATTATTGGCCAACAACTAGCATTCCAAGATTATATCCCGATCCTAATCATCGACGAAAGAAAAAAGGAAGACCAAAATCTACTCGCATTCAAAATGAGATGGACATTCGGGAAGGTCGAGCCACAATACATTATGGATTGTGTAAACAAGCGGGTCATGATCGTCGAACTTATCCATCAAAATAATGATAATTATATATATTTTTTATTTAGCTTAATATATTTCATGCTTTTATAATGGATATGCAACTAACTTATTGTTTTTTTCTTAATATTTTACAGCTTTATAACTTTGGGATGTCAAATAATGATACGTAACATGGATTTCTTGGTCATAAAATTCTTCATAAACAGATTGAAAAGCAAGATGACCTTCTATTTATTTTTCTCATACTTTAGTGTATTTTTTTCAAGACTATGTAGTATAATTATTCAAATTCGTCGATTCTTTTATCTCGCTAATTCAACTTTATTAAATTTAAAGTCAGCATCTTATTATGATTTCCAAGTTTATGCCTCTGCTAGGTAGCATTTTTTAGAAGAATTTTGAGCATAGTGATCACTATCTACATTGCATATGATAATTGTAGAATTATCGGACGATAACATGGCATTGACCACCATCACTTTTCACAATATTTCAATTTATTTGCCCACTACCTAAATAGGATATGTATAAGCATCCCATAACAATCTCAAGATCTATATTCTTTCTTTTTTTCTTGCTAAAAATAAATATAATTAGGCTTGTTAATAAACTAACAAAAAGTGAAGTGCATAATTCTTTTCAATATGATAAGAGAACCTGGATCAATTAACAAGGTGAAGGAATCCATGTACAAGGAATAAACCCAATAGCAACCAATCAATATTCAAAAAGATAGCGTGGATAAATTCAAAATAACCTCGAGATGTGCTCTTGCAACTAAATCGAGTTGTGCTTTTTGAAATTGAACTACAAAGCGCAAAAGAACTACTAAAACTATATGTTAATATTTCAGTTTACACTACTATACATTACACACTCGCAATCGTTATTATAACTACTAAAACTTCAATGTGTCTTGTTCCATCGATCCCATGATTTCGGTTCTTATGTCCACTCATTGTTAATCGCACAAATTAAAATACATGCCGCACTTATTTCGATCTCCGAAGTTCTTGAAGCGGATGTCGGCATAATATCCAAAATCCTCCCCGATCAAGAAAAGTGAAAGAAAGGAATTAGCTAATTATTATAGCCTATATATATAACTAGGTAATTGGATGTATAGTTTATAGACAAGAAACTCCGGAGACTTGTAAATGCATCGGCCTCAACTAGGTAATTGCACTTCATCGACCTCAACTCGGTAAGTGCATCCCTAAAACAAAAAGGTAAACTATTTTAAATGTAATGATATAGAGAAAATATTGGTTTTTCAAAATTGGACATGCCAAGAGAAAATTAACCCTCTTCCAATGAAGAAATTAGTAATATAACCAGACTACGATAAGGGAAAAATCACTCAATAGGGGTGTTAGTAGACTAATTCCATCTTAAAGACCGATAGGGTGAGGCTGGCATGTCGACTTAGTTACAAGTTTCACATGGCAAGATAAAGTATGAAATAAATATACACGGAAGAACTAGATAGAGATTCAGACTTATATTTTGCTTCATTCATGGTCAAAAAGGTACCTTATCATCCGACATTTTAAATAGATTGCAAGAAAACCTCTTCGGGTAGATATTCCAATGAACTTAGATGAAGTTAGCTAGTAAATATCTATTAAAAAGTTCACATTAAACAACAAAGTGTAATTCTGAAAAATTAACAAGCCTCGAAAAATTAACAAGGAATCTCATTACGGATGTATAAAGAAGATTACCAACTTAACCTTTTCTAATTTCTATAATTTGTAATTTTGAGTAAGTGTGAAGAAAGGTAAACTAAGTCGGGCTCGAGCTTTCTGCTAAGAAGCACTCCATAATTCTCAAGCTTAAATAGCCTACTCCTAAGTTACACATCAACTAACCAACTTACCCTCTCAAACGAATTACTTACGAGAATAAAATGACTCATTGCAATGAGAACTACAACAAATTCATAAATTTTTCACAGCTAAGAGCTTATCACATGCATCGGATGTGAATTTGTAAACGTGAATTTATACATCATATTGAGTTATTTACCTCGTGTTATTTGATATGTACTTAATCCGTTAGTTATGCACTATTCTACAACCTATGTTTAATGCACTTTGGTGATCTAATTTGCATCCTTCCATAAATAGCCAACATTTCATCTTACATGTATAACTACTACTATAAGATAAGATTTGTCTTCTAAAATAGGAACAAATCGATATACATTGTTGTCGAGTGCATTTTCAAGCTTCACATAAACACAATCACCATGTACAAGCGAAGGCCTTCATTCGACAAGCCTGGGGACCTCGAGAGCCAAAAAGTCTTTCCTTCTCATGTTAACACACTCCTTGTTATGGCACCCCATTTCTTCCCGAAACAAATATGACCAATGTTAGAGCCAAAACACATTGAATATTTGCATATACTTGAAATAACCAATCATTCATGATTACCTCTAAATGTAGCTCTTTCATTACAAGCAATATACTCGAAGAACGCAAGCATAACTCTCCATACTCAATCTTCCACAATAACATTAGTGGACTTGCTTATTCTACAATAACTCTCCGAGATCCGTTGGGATTGGAAACTTAGGAAGTTTATAATTAAATTCTCGAGTTGTTGCCTCTAGCAGGACGTGAGGAAACCACACACCAAATGTAATTCATCCTAATCAAATAATTAATTTCAAAATTTATTCTAAGAGATCCATATAAAATGTAATTATTAACTTAAAAGTGTAGCAATTACTTGTTTTTAAAAAAATGATGATAATGATATAAAAATAAAAATAAACTCGTTACCTTAACGAAAATGGTGGGGATGTGAGAATGGTCATTGGAAACGATAACATAATCGACCAAAACGACAACGTTCCTGTGGATTTCCTCGAGACGCACTTAGTTCCGGATGCCGGTAGATTCAACCATCTCTCTCGCATTTTTCTCTTCCTCCTCCCCTCTGTTGGGTTCGCATTTTTCAATTTATGAGATCGAAATGAAAGAAACGAGAGGAAATATAAATTAATACCAACTTGCCACGCACCTCCATCTCTCTCGCATTTTTCTCTTCCTCCTCCCCTCTATTGGGTTTGGGATTTTCAATTTATGAGATCGAAATGAAAGAAACGAGAGGAGATGTTAACGCACATTATACTCTACAGGTGTAGACAAGAAGGGATGATCTCTTTCTCTTTCTCTCCTGTAAACGATGCACCATTTTGGTTCTATTTGATAACATAATTTTTTTTTAAAAAAAAATTATGTTATCCAATAGAACCAAAATGGTAAAAATTAATGTGTAAAATGCCTCATTATCAGCCTTAAAAAGACTGATATGTACATGAGATTTAATACACGTGATAAAAAATACATTATTTTTATAAATAAGATTAAAACAACTTTATTTTAGTAAATAAGTTTTACAAGTATCCTCTTTTAAAAAAAAACCCTGACATGTAGTATTATTTTTTTGTTTCATACAAATAAAATTTTATGAAAACAATAAAAACCCCAAAATGCCCCCAAATTCCCGATTCAACTTTTTTCCTTAACTTAACCAGATCACAAAAATCGATTACAAGATGAATCAAATTTTTTTTTTTTTTTTAAGTTTGATTAACAAAAAAAAATTCTGCCCTTTCCTTTTCTCTCTCTTCTACTCTCTCTCTCTCTCTATCTCTCACACACACACACACGCTATCTCCCAAAAAAGAGAAAAATAAAAGATGAATTCAAAGAGTATCTTCCTTTTCTCTCTTTATTTCACCTAATTCAAACAAACCATTGATTACACAGTCAAAACAATGCCTTTTTCTTTTGAAAGATTTTTTTTCATTAATCATGGAAGATAGTAATACTTCACGAGAACAACAAATTAATCAATGGCATGACACACTTCTCCTTACTGATCTTTCTTGGCAACGACATCAATAAGAAAATAACAGCTCTCTTTCCCAACCATCTCCTGCTTCAGCTGCACCTGAGAGGTCGAGGAAGACGACTGCGATGCCGTTTGCGAAAGAGAGGTGTTGTTTTCTCTTAACAAAACTCAAAACCTGTCCATTTTCGCAAGAGTTGCCTCCAAATCCCTCTCCCATGTAATTTTTCTCAACATTACCTCTTTCGCTTAGGATTTTCTCTAAGAAAATTGTAAAATTGATGTAAAAAACAAATCATGGTCCACGTTCATTTCAACTGCTTCTACCACTCTCGTTCACAATCGAGCCTCTCAACATCTTTGTTTGCTTTCTTAAGCCACTGAAAAGAAGTCAGATCATAGCCATCTAATTGATTTGGGTTGTTGATTTTGGAGAAGTGAAACAAGAATAAAATTGATGTTGGTTGTTGTAATAGCCTGAAAATTTTTGGAGTTTAAATTCAAGAATAAAATTAAAGTGGATTGTTGATTTTGGAGAAGTGAGACAAGATGATGAAATTCAATGTGAATGTTGACGGTGGGATTGAATATGGGTATGGTGGCTGGTTGAGAAGAAGACGGCGTGGAAGGAGTGGCTGTTGGGGTTTGGAGGGGGAGAGGATGACAGTAGGACTTATGGGTGGGTAGGTTGCTGGCGGTGTAAGGGACGACGGCGATGGTGCCAGTGGGTGAAGGGAGGCTCGACACGGGAGAATTAAAATTTAATTGGGGATTTTGGGGTGTTTTTACATGGGGTATTTTGGGTTTTTTATTTTAGAAATTTATTTATTTAATTTTGAAAACCAGACAGAAAAAACAATTGCCATGTCAACATTCGGTATATTTTTCATCGAGATTTGATGTTATTATCTGAAAATTTAAAATGAAGGGATGAAATTAATAAAAAAATTAGTAAAAATTTATAATTAAAACAAACAAAACAATAGAAGGATATGCTAAATCATTGACCGATTATACAGTCCCAATCCTTAGACTTTGTTTTATTAACGGAAATACAGAATGCTCCTAATATTGTTTCAAAGTTCATCCACAAAGATATGATTGAAAATCTTTTTCTAGTAAATCCAGGAGGCTTGATGGGTACAACAGGACGCTTAGCTATCGATTGGATAGATCTTCTTGACGTACAGATCTTTGCCCATAATTCTTTCTTTTTACAGTGTCGAATTTCTGACCGTGCGAAAAGAATAGCGTGGGACTTTGTCGGGATCTATGGTAGCAGTGTGGATGAAATTCGAAACTCTTGGTTTGAATCATTGATCGACAGCTACACTCCAACAATTCGGCTCTAATTATTGGAGGAGATTTCAACATACTGTTATATCAATGGGAGAAGCGTAGAGGCTTGTTGTAAGCTGGACGAGTTACATTCATGAAAAGGATTTAGGTTATATTGGTCATGCTTTTACTTGGAACAATAGATGGCTACATTCAAGAGAGGTTAGATCGTTTAGCTCTATAGCCATGCTTCGTTCTCATATATTGGATGAGCCAGGATCCAATCACCGACCGATTCTTCTCAATACAGACCTTGGGTTTCGTACTAAGAGGCAGTTTAAGTATGATGACAGATGGGCTCATGATGCAGATGCTAGGTCAGTGGTTCAACAAGCATGAACAAATCGTGTGGCAGGATCTAGTATGTTTCGCCTGTCCTTTAAGTTGAAGTCTTGCCCGTCTTATTCTTGTGCAGTGGGCTAGATCTTGGACATCTAATTCTCATTTGGCACTAGAGGCGCTAAAATAGGAGCTAAGATATTTAAAATATGGGGACATGTCTTATGATACTGCTAGGATTCAAAATCTTGAGAGACAGATGTGCGAAGAGAATTTAAATGAGAAACAATATTGAAATTAAAAATGTAAGGTCCGTTGGAAATGGTTTCACATCAAGGCATGTTAGAGAGGGAGGATAAATTTTATTCATGGTTTGTTTGACGATGATGTGTCTGGCACGACAAGCATTAGGAGAGAGCTGATGTTGCAGTTTCTTACTTCACCTCATATATACGTTTTCAATTGATGTGAACTTAACTATAATGACAATTTTCATGGATGAATAAGATTGTCATATAGACTCTTATTGGTTGTTTTTCATCCTTTTCATCATGGATATTAAAAAATATGATAGAATTCTCATTTGGATCTATATTTCTAGATGATTCCATTAACGATTCTAAGATCCAAATATAGAATTTTCTTAAAACCTGTGATGATTCTTTTAATTCAAGGCTTTGATCATTAACTATAGTTTCATAATCCAAATGTAAATTTTTCTTTAGATCTTGAAATGCATTTGTATTTGTAATGTTGTGATCACAATTATTCATGAAGATCTCAAGAACTAAGTTAGGATTCATATTGTGAACCCATTGCATTCTAGGTCAATTGCTATAGAGTTTGTATCTCGCAAACTTGTAATTTGAGCTTTTAGTCCTTACAGAGTCCGTATTGGCAAACCTACATTTATAGCTTGTAGCCCTAGTAGAATTAATACATATAGACTTGTAATAGGAGCTCCTAGCCCATGCAAAATCAATATCTACAAACCAATAATTAAAGCCTCCAACCTCTATAGAATTAGTATCTATAGACTCGTAATTGGAATCTCCGATCTCGGTAGAATTAGTATCTCGAGACCTATAATTGAGCTTTCGACTACGGTAGAATCGATATCTATAGACCTACAATTTAAGCCTTCAACCCCTACAGAGTCCGTATTTAAATTTATAGAGAATTCTTTTATGAGATGACTAACTTCTCAAATAACTTTAAGTCTTTGTATATGAGATTTAGATCCAAATGATGGATGATATCTTCCATCATAACCTCTTACATCCTCATAAAATTAACTATATGCCTTTGCATGGAGAGTTGTCTAGTTGAAAACCAACTTTAGTTTGTTGTAGTGATTTTCTATGGTTTCGCTTTTAACCTATGTTGCTTTTCTAAATGCCGACCAATGGCCTTACATGTGATATTTATTTCTTTACGTGCCTTCTTAACCATTTCTTCATGTAAGTTCACGTATTTCGTCCGTCGTCAAAAGCTTAGGACTATTATGAACTTCTTGTTTCAATTCCTTTCTAGGTCTATAAGTTAACATCTTATGAAATGGCTATTTTCTTTTAGCATAAATATGATTCTCATCACCGCAATTCTCTTTTAGAGAATTGCTTAGATAAAAAGTCCTAATTGACTCTTTTCTTCCATTAAAGCCTTGATAATTTGATGTCATATCAAAAATATAATTGACACTCATTGTAGTCACCGGATCCGTTGTGGCTTCTTTTGTGCTAGATTCAATTAAGAAGATTTTGTAACAAAAAATAAAATCTTACCCAAGTCGATCGGGTTGCGGGTTTGCAAGGATAATCACCTTTAGTAATAATGATCTCAAATCAATAATTTGAATTCCTTAAGCTAAGTTGTGATCAAGACCATGCATTCAAGATTTAAAACAAAAAATTAAACAATTATTACGCTAGGAATTCAAGGCTATAATCCTAACAATTGAGTGGGTGAAAATAGATGTTGAAAACCAAAAATAATACTTAAAGCTTAAAATAAACTTCAATTCACCGATGAGAAATAATGCTTACATATTGACATTCTTCCTTCGGATATGATATTCGAGTAAGAATTCAGTTTTGTAGGATTATAAACATGAGTTACAACGATAATATAGTAATAGATAACAAATCTATTGACCTATTTTGATTACAACCTACCAATATCGGTCTATAATCTCCCGCCTAATAAGTTTTAAGTGCGTTGAAACTTGTGAAGATGCTCTTCTTATAAATGTTGTTGAGTTTGTTATTGATTTTTATGTGTGTCCTTCTTTCTTTATCGTAGTTGATATCTATAAACTCTTGGCTCCTCTATGATTTTTTGTAATACTCCATGATCTTTGATAGTGCTTTATGTTTTGTTTTAGCTTCCTATTCTTGAGCTGCAATCGTTCATATTTTGTTATTATTTTTAAACTTTTAATTTGTCTTTTGACCTTCTTGACATATATATATATATTGAAATTTAGTCCATCTTGTAGTTTTCTATCATTTATCTAATAAAAATAAAAATTTCATAAAATAGTTTCATAATAGGAATCATTAAGTGAAATTTATATGAAGCTTACGTAAAAAATTTGGAATCATTCTGGAATATTTTCTATTTTTTTGATTTTATATATTTTTAATGTTCAAAAAATAAAAATATAAATATAATTCCCGAATTTAAAAAATTCTGAATTTTTCTAAAAAATGAATTAGATTTTTCCCAATATATTTACAAAACTTCATATCAAAATATCAAGAATTGAATTATTTTTTTATTTACGGAAAACGAGTGATAGTCGAAAATCATATATATGATGAAATTAATCTCATAAAAAAGTTCAGGAAGATTAAAAAAAATAAGTTAGAAGTTTAGGAAATTATTTTTAAATAAACTAAAGTTTAGGAATGGTTTGACCTTTTTAACCTTGTTTTAATCCAACTATACTTATTTTGTAATGCCATTCATAGAGGTCATTAAATTGCTTGATAATAATTTTAGAATGGATATAGATGAATAAAAAAAGACTTTAATAAAAATACAAAAGTGCTAAGAACTAGGAAGAGAATTTTCAATTAAATAGAAGACTTAATTTTGTGAAACGAAAAGACACCATTAGAAAAACCAAAAGTCATGAAAAAAAATTACATAAATAAGGAAGACAAGGGAGTAAATTATAAATTACTCTTTTTAGTTTTAAGAAATGAATTAATTAGTTCCTTCAGTTTTAAAAATTAATTATTTAATTTTTATTGTTTTAAATTTTCTTGTAACTTAATCTTTTTTATTAATTTTCAGTTCATTTTGATTTTTTATTTTAAGAAATAGAAAAGGGAAAAAAAAACAACTAAAGATTATGGAAGGGTTGATGATAAAGTATGACATTTTTTAAAAATAAAATAACATTAAATTAAGCATGATCATCACTAGTTAATGGACTAAGTAATTAGTTTTTGAAAAAAAAAACTAATTACTTGGTTTTTCAAAAATAAAGAGACTAATTTGTAATTTACTCAAAGAATAGAGTGACATAAACATCCATTAAAAAAACAAAGAAAGGGAATGAAAAATTTGTAAAGTGTTGTTTAGTTATCGGGAATGGAATGATGAGAATAAGAATGAAAGTTTTATTCCTATTTTGTAGTTGTTTGGTTGAAAAGAATAAAGTGAGAATAAAAATGAAAATTACACATCGTCTTTTTACATGAAAGGTGAAAAAAAAAATAAGAATGATTTTTTTTTAAATAATGATATATTATTTTCATTTATTATATATTAACTACTTCCATCGCCGCCGCCACTATCTCCATTAACGGTAATAATAATAATAAAAAAATTATTATTAGTATTATATCATTATTCCTCCTCCATTGTTACTATTATTACCACTACCACCAATATCATAACTTTTATTTTACTACAACCACCATCATCACCATCACTCTTCTTCCAATGCTTTTAAAATATATTATTGTTATTACTATATTATTATCATTACCACCTTTTCTTCATCTTCTTTCTATTCCACGATCACTATTATAATCATCTCTGTTATTTTTATTAAAAATACAGTTGATAAAATTATTTTTTAATCATTATTCTTATTTATATTAAAAATTAAATATTAAAAAATTTAAATTTTATTTTAATTTCTTATTAGTATTTTAAACACATGATGAGAATATAAATGTCATTTTGATTATCTAATTTTCATTCTAATTTTTACATACATTTTCATTTTGGATATTTTATTTTTAATAATCAAAAGATACCTAAAAAAAGAAACAAAAATAATTTTGTTGTTGACATCGATCAACAAACTCAACATCAACAATAAATTGAAGAAAAAAGGATATTTTCTACTCGAAATCCTTTTTTTTTCCTCATTCTTTAAATACAATAAATCGAAGAATCTGATTCCTACATGGATATTCTCAATCCGAACCCAAAAAGAAATGTATAAGAAAATTTTCAATCTAAATGATTTTTTTACTGTATATCTCTTTGTTTTATTACTAATCAGGAGCGGACGCACGTTATGGGCTACCGGGGCCCGGGCCCCCTCCAGCTTTTTTTTTCTTTGATCCCAGGTGGTATTAAATGTTTGTGGATTACTGGATTTCACTCCTTTTCATGCCATACACACACCGTACAGGAAAACAAAGCCAGCTATTGGCCTTTTTTGCTTGTAAGTTTCTGACTTCTTCTTGGGCCCTTCTTGTTTTTTTTTTTTTTTTTTTTCCTAATATTTATATATTTACGAGAGAAAGAGCCAACTTTTTTCTATCTTTTAAGAGTTAACCTTATTTAAAAAGAATTCTATCAGGGGAAGAAGGAATGTTTCTTCTTGTTGTTGTTGTTTTTTTTTTTTTTCAGGAATTAAGTTATAATCATCTAAAAAAAGATACTAAATATATCCACATAAAATTGATAAAAATTGAAATAGCATCTAAAAATTCAATATTTATGAGAATAATTTAAATAAATTTATATAAAATACCACATGACCTCTTAAAATCATAAAAGTAAATGTAAATCAAAAGGACGTAGATTTTGAATATATAAAAATTTAAATAAAAAATAAAATAGAAATCTAGGCTAAAGAGATGAAAAAATGAAACAGACCTTGGAAAATAATTTTTTTTATAACAATTTAAATCAATCCAGATAAAAT